CTACGAGAACTATTCTAAAGAAGTGCAAAACTATTTTATACAAAAATGCTTATGAACTCACCAACTTTTTAGTTGACACTTTTCAAAACGACTTGTATTCTCAGGAAACCAGCAGACATGTACTCAACCCTTCTTAAGGGTCAACATCGTCATCTCATGTTTATCTACTTTTCAGTTATTTATATGTAACTTTTGAACAAACAAAGTGTTGCAAACAATGTAATCTTGTGTTATCAATGTATGAATGTTTGGGTTGCTATGTTTCATTACTATTCAATTGTTATGATACTGTACATGAAGTCACTCCATCCGCCCCCAGACGTTTCCTCCGTTCTGGTTTGGGGGTGTGAAACTTATGCTGATTCTGGAGGATCCCGAAATTATAGGAATTCTTGTTACTTGCATTAGACTATAAATAACACATGTATTTAGCACAATACACACAATTAGCTCTACCATTACACTTGTACTCGTATTACCTTCATCATCTTTTTAATCTCATATTTAAATCAATAAAATACATCAAAGCAGGTGATCGTTATCACCTCCCAAGGTTTTATGTCGGATATCCTATAAAGGATCAAGGGCTTTCCTTGTAACTCACTTGTCTCACTTTGATCATTATTTTGTACTTACATTGTACTAACTGTTGGATTAGGTGTCTAAGCCCATAACTATTTTGATATTACTTTACCCGATTATGAGCATGGTCCTTTTGGGTTGCCTTCACCATAGCAACTGATAGGATGAATTAAGGAGAAAGAGGATTAATTATGATTTATTAATATGTTATATGAATAATATATTAAAAGAGAAATCATATTGTTTAATTAATATTGGTCAAGAATTAATTAAGAATTAAATTTGTGGCTAAAAGAGATTAATTAAATAAAGGGGACTGTTATGCAAATCATTGATAGTTGCATAAATGGGCTAATGGACTCCATAGAGTTGGAGTGGACGAAATTTATGGGGAAGCCCATAAGATTTCGTCCAAGGCCTCTAAGGAGGGAGTCCATGGGCTGCTTAGGGCCTAAGCAGTGAGATTAGGGTTTCCTAGTTGAAAACCCTAATAGCCTAAGTATAAAAGGAACCCTTGGCAAGCCAAAAACGTGCCTAACCTTCTAAGAGAAACCCTAGGACGTTTTTGGTGCCTCCTCCCTCTCTCCTTGTTCATCTTGTTGCTTATGGTGTTTGTGACTCCATTAGAGGTGCAACATTTGAGGCACTAGGCTTTCAGAATTCAATTACAAGAAGGATTCAGATTGTTATTGCAACATAACAATCAAGGTAAGATCTAAACCTTTATTCATATGTTAATTTGATTATTGTATGCTAGTCAATTAGGGTTTATTGCTTTGGTATTCAATGTTGTATGTTTACTTAGAAAAACCTAGATCAAAGCAATTAGGGTTGCATGAACACCATAGGATTGATGTTATGCTCATAACCCATCAGTGGTATCAGAGCCTAGGTCGTTTTTCTAGTGAATAGATGCATAAGTGAACCACCAAAAATCTTGAAAATCAAAATTTTTGGTTTCTGTCAGGCAGACTCGCAGAGTCCATGAATGGACTCCACGAGTAGGTCCTACTCGACGAGTTCCATTGTGGACTCGACGAGTCCAGGGCTCTGGTGCCGGGATTTTCGATTTTTCTGCCAGATTTTGTTGTGGATAATTTCTAAAACTCGTTTTTCTTGCCAAAATCCGATTTTTTAAGTTTGGAATGATTATCTTCATCAAAATTGATGGTGGTTAAATATGGATAATATATGATTATTATTAGTCAAATATTCAACCTAGTAATTTGTAAAAGTTTCAAATTGCACCCTATAGGTTTTATAGTTTAAATTTAAACTTAAAAGTTTTAGTTTTTGAAATTTAAATAGTTAAACCCTATTGTTTTGAAATGTTTCAAAACTTGCCCTCAAGTTTTGGAATTTAATTTTAAATTAAAAGGTATTAATTTTAAAATATTAAATTCTAAAACCCTAGTATTTTGAAAAGTTCAAATTACACCCTTATGGTTTTATTAAATTAATTAAATGTGTAATTAAAAGAAAGTTAATAAATCCATAATGATACGGTTTGATTTTAATTAAATTAAAAGTTAATAAATCCACACCTTGTTTGTGATCCTCAGCATCACAGTCACAAACATGAAGGGCATAATCGAGATTAAACATGCCATTGAAAAGTTCAATGAATCTCAAAAGATCTAGGAGTTTCAATTCATTTAAAACCTAATTTTCAATTTTCGTTTTTCATGGTGGAACTTGGTAAATCGTCATTTACCTACCTTCAAATGTTCTGCGATTTGGATTACGGCATCCCTATTCCAAATTGTAGAATATTGTGTTGGATCCTAGCCTCAATATTTCATTTGGGTGCTATATTGAGGATTTTATTAACTAACTTGAATTTCTCCCGTTTTGTAGATGTCAAAGTCTAACAACTATAGTCTTCCTGAATCCGTTGGAAATAGTTTTCCGCTTGAAGATGATGTTCCACGATTGGATTGTGGAAATGGAAATCATGCTTCACTTCCTCCACCTCCTCCAATAATTCTCACTAACCCACAGGTTCGAAGACTTGAAATGTTCAAGGTCACTCAAGCCCTATTGGCAAACAAACACGAAGATGGAAAGTCTGTATGCGCTCATGTCTTGGATATGAAGTTGCATATTGACAGATTGGGAATGTTGGGTGTTGAAGTCTCTAGGAAGCTGGCTGTTGACTTGGTTCTTCAATCACTTCCTGACTCATATGGTGAGTTCATTAGAGAGTATTATATGATGGACCACGACATGACCCTCATTGATTTGACTTATTTGCTTATTGTTGCTGAATCAGAAATGATTTGGCGGACTGGTCAAGCAAATTTTTCTGGTAAATCAATATCCCAACCTTCTATGGACAATGGCAACATTGGAAGTCCAGAAAAGTTTTCTCTACGCAAGAGAAAGGCTAAGTCTGAGATAGTCCCTTGTGCCATTTCCGAAGAGTGTGTGTGTTTCTACTGCTAAAAGAAGGGGCATTGGTCACGAAGCTGCCCTGACTACCTAAGAGATCTAAGAGATAGGAGAGTCAAGATGTATGACTCTACTTCAGGTAAAATCCACTATCTAACTTTATTAAGTTCTTATTTATAGATTCTTAATACATGATGTGATAAAAAACATTTTGATGTTTTGTAGGATTGAAGAAAAGAAAGGAAGCTTAAAGGAAGAGTGAGCCGAGTCTGATCACGAAGAGATGAATTTCGATCGCATAATTCGAAGATCGGATTTTTGAGCTGCTGTTCAAGAGTTAGGATAGATTGCTTAGGAATATGTAATAAGCATAGTTTTCATTTGAATTGCGTTGTAAGGACAAGTTTTTTCCGCGTTTTATAAATAAGTGAAATTTTGAGTTTTATCTTATTTATTTATCCTTGCAATGTTATATGTGAAAATTGATGTTTGTATGTTTCTATTATAAGCAATAATAGTGGATGTGATTCTTAGTTATGTTATTTGTAGTAATGTCAGAAATTTACCAAATAAGGAAAGATTCTCATCGCCCAAGTTTCAATTGGACAAAAAATTGGAATCATGCAACTGGTATTGTATGATGAATGAGAACCTTCGTATTTGGGAAATTAAGACTAACTCCTTGTTCACATAAGTATCACTATAAGAAAAATCCTAAATAGCTACGGAAAGTTGCCACGGAATCAAAATCCATAGCTATTCTACTACGAAATATGCTATGTAATGACTTATCGTAGCTATTTTGCTACGGAAATGGCTACGGAATTGCATTGCGTAGCTAAATCTTGAATAGCTACGAAAAGTTACTATGAAATCAAAATTTGTAGTTATTCTACTACGAAATATGCTACGGGTTGACTACTTGTAGCTATTTTGCTACGGAAGTAGCTACGAAGTTGCATTTTCGTAGCTAAATCCCGAATCACTACTGAAAGTTGCTACGAAATTCAAATTTGTAGCTATTTTACTACGATATATACTACGAAGTTATTGGTTGTAGCTAGTTCGTTACGGATTTTGTTACGAAATCCATATATGTAACTAATTGGCTACATCATTAGCTACACAATCAAAATAGGTAGCTAGATGGCTACGGAAGTGAAATCCGTAGCTATTTTGTTATGAAATTTGTTATAAAATAAAATTTTGTAGCTAATCTACTATGTAACTTGTTACGAAAAGCTTGATCGTAGATATTTGTGTATAAAACTTGTTTTCAAATTTGCAAAATAACTACGGAATCAAAATCCGTTGGTATTTTACTACGGAATATTTCATAGTCAAGTAGCTATAGAATATGTTTCCGTAGCAAAATATAGAAATATCTATAACCTATTCATATACTCTATTAATGGGCACGGTGGTTATGTACAGTAGAATTATTGCTCATTCCACATTAGCCACCAATCTTTTATCGTTTACATTCACTACCGTTAAGGCGTTAACTATTTTGACCTCCCTTTTTTCCTAAATCGTTGTTTTCCTTTTGTCTCCGTTATCATCCGTCCGTGTTGGGCTGTTAGGCAAGGTCAATGGGGACACGCGTTTGTTGTTCTTCGTTGGCGTCAACACTTCTTCAGATTAACGCTATCTATCTTCCCAAGAAGAACACCGCCTTATTTTTAATGAATACCAGTTTCTCTCAAATTCATCTTCCGTCTCTTTTATCCTACTTGCGTACTCTATTATACGCTACTTCAAACGATCGCCTTCAATAATCGGTCATCGGGTTTTATCTCAAGTTGCACATCTTCAAATGTCTTTAAGGTAGCTTCAACATCTTTCTTTTTTAATTTTGCTTTAGGGCATGTTGGTGTGTGAAGACTATGAGTTTCCACAGCTCTTCCACCAAATCATCTCCGAATTCTTCTTCTCTATCTTCTATTCCGCTTTACCAATGAAAATTTGTTTATCTTTTCTTCTTAGTCGTGCATGGAGACGAGGCAGAACGATAACCTAGAGGGACGATGAAGGTCCTCTTTGCTGGTGTCGCCAAAAACGTCAACAATGACCGCCCCTCTCTGAGAATCGTCGGCCTCCACCACTTCCTGTCATCTCCGCTGTCCTCTACACTTCCCAGCAATCGACGTTCGGTAGGCTCATCTATTTCACACAAAATGGAAGGTGAAACACACACACGAACACATCGGCGTCTTTGCGTTGAAGGTGCGGTTTGTTTTTAAGTATCATACCCCCAATCCTTCCTCCTCCATCTGAAACTCATTTGTGTTGCTCTGCACTTCTTTTTGTCTATATTTGTGTCAGACATCATTTGGTCTATTTCGTATTTTTTAAAATCAAATCGATTTTCTAAATCAATATGATTTTGATTTTGGGAATTAGTTTTCACTTTTCAATTAGTTTAGTTCTGATGAATTGATCTTCTGAATCAATATGATTTTCAATTTAGGAATTGCTTTTCAATTACTTGAGTTATGATAGTGTCAAAAATCCATCTGTCAGTAGGATTTTACGTGGGCCAAAAGAGATGCAGTTAGGCTTATGTCAAGTTTTGGAAAACCTTACATTTGAGGTGATCCGATTGAAATTTTGATTCACATGAATGTTTATAATCTTACCTCCATGAATGAATATGTTTATTGGTCTGGCCTCTGCGTCTATCATTATGGTGTTCAAGGTTTGATCTATTTCAGTTAATTTCATGAATTAAGAAGGTTTTTTGACTATCTAGGATGATCAAGGAGAATTTGATGAACTGGTAAAGGAGGTTCTGTTGCATTGGGAGAGCGAGAGGTGAGATTTTTACATATATATAAGCTCTTATCAAATGCCCATAACCTGTTTGTTGAAATGCTTCAAAGAAGTTTCATATTCAGGAGCCCGCTGATTGGTGGATATGCTCTTATTAGTTACAATATATCTCTTATCTTCGTCTTCTTCTTTTAAATTTGGGTTCTTGGTTTAGTTTCTCATTTTTTTACTCTTTATTTCCCAGGCGAGTTTCACAGAGAATAGGTTGTACACTTCTTTGCAGGTGTGCCTACTGCGGTATGCTTTTATACATTAAAATTCTAATTTTACGTAAAAGAATTGAAATTTCCTCTTTATTTGTTCATCAATTTCGAAAAATCAAATACTTTTTTTTGGATTTACATGATTTGTGGCTCGGCTGTACCATTGCCTTACAGGTAGGGGTGTAAGTGAGCCGAGCTACTCGGGAGCTACTCGGGACCGACTCGTTAAAAGCTTGACTCGAGATCGAATTAAACGAGCCCGAGCCGAGCTCGAGCCTAAATATGAGGCTCGTTTATTAAACGAGCTCGAGCCGAACTTCAGTTAGTGGGCTCGCGAGCCTAAATGAGCCAAAGCGAGCCTATATATATATATATATATATTATATATATATATATATATATATATATATATATAGGCTCGTTTAGGCTCGCGAGCTCACTAAATTATTCACGAGCCGGGCTCGAGCTTCATTTTAAGGCTCGAATCGAGCTCGAGCTCGAGCTTGGTCAGGCTCGGGCTCGGCTCGGCTCGTTTACACCCCTACTTACAGGACTTGAGTTCCTTTTGTTTCGATTTTTTTCCACAGATCAATTCCAGATTAGTGTGCTGAAAGCAAAAATAAATCCATGACAATCATAAAACATAAAACTGTCTCCATAATAGTAATTAGTAACCAACAATATCTCGACTTATCTTTTAATCAATAATTTATGTACTTCTCTTTTACTTGCAAAGTCGATAAAAGAGGAAATTGTATCCAAATTTAGGACCAATGAATCAGATTAGGAGAAAAGTAGCCAACTTTTATTTTATTGTTTCAGTGAAAGTGATAACATGTTTTCTTCTGGAAGATAATACTTTTTTGTTGTAGTCGTCGGTTTAAATCAACAATCAAGCATGGTTTTTCCTTTTTCTGATTTTTAACGTATTTTTTGTTGAAAAGAGTTTCGCTCTGATGTGCAATTCTCTTATGCTGATCAGACTGAATAGCATTTTCATCTTCTGCAATTTTAGCAACTCTGAATGGACAAACTATTGTTAGTAATGGAGAGCTAATTTTTTTTACCTGCACTTTATTCCATTTTTTTTTATTAAATCTCATAAATTAATAATGTGTTAATTATTACATATGACTTGCTAACTTCATATTTTTTTAATCTCAGTGTGAGCTCATCTGCAGATCATTCAAGCTCTAATTTGGCTCAACAATTCCTAGTGATGTGTTTTTTCTCTTTTTATGGGCTTATATGGACTTATGGTTATGGCTATTGTTTTCTCTACTTTCTAAAAATCTTTCGGAATTTTTTGAGCAGTTTTTTGAACACTAAGGTCACTTGACAACATCGTGGTTATACCTCAGAAAAGAGTTGTGGACATTCTCTCGCTACATTCCTGCTTTTTTTTTTTAACAGAGGAAAAAAACGATTCTTTCAAGGGTTGTTGGTAGCTTAATCCTGCAAAGCTTAAAGGTATTTCTTTGTGCTCCTTTTAAATGCAAGAAATAAAAACATACTTTCATTGCTTCGTGTTTCGTCATAGTTCTAAGATAACATAAGAGTAAGAACTAATTAGAATCAATTTTCTTCCCACTACTTAAAAATATGATTATTATTTATAAATTTATCTAAATTTGCTTTTCGTTGTTTTGAAACAGAGGATTCTTGATGATGAAATTGAGAAAGTGAACCACTTTCCTATTGATATACTTTTGTCATTTCTTAATTGAAAAAGTTATAATCTTATTTTGGCTAAGTAAGTTAACAAAAAACTAAATAAATATGTGTATAGTAAGTAAACAAGTTTATTAATGGTTTGTTAGTTTAGGAATCAAAAAGGTATGTTCTATTTCTTTCATCTTCATCAGGTTACAATAAAACAACGAAAAGCAAAACAAATTGGGATTTTGTACAACAGACTGAATTTTAATAAAGTTGATTGTAAATTTGATTTTAATAAAGTTGATTGTAAATTTGATTTTGCAGGTTTTTCCATTTTGATGAGCATATGTGGTTGTCTGTGTGTTCATGGTGGTTATGGTGGTTCAAATCTAAACCGTGTGACTGTATTTGTTATTAATATAGAGTATTGATGATTAGACAACCTTGTAGAAGAATTTTCGATGATGTAATATATCTATAAGATTGATGTAACCATTATATATATATATATATATATATATATATATATATATATATATATATATATATATATGGGAAAAGTGAATATACATTATAGCCCCACCTAAGCTTATGTACTAAACCTCATGAAAATACATTGTTTTACTATATAAAGATTGTGATTAGGGGATTCACGATTAACAGTTGAAGATGTAGATTCATGATGTACACAATAGTTTTAATAAGGAAGCAAGAACATCGATTATCTTCTACCTTTGTGACGATGGAAAACAATACTGTTCACTAGTGTGAAGTAATAAACGATAATGGAGGAAAGAAAACAAAGATGGTAAAACGATAATGGAGGGAAGAAATGTTATTGGGGACAATATATTTACCAATTGAGAACGAAATCGAGTATATTACTAAGTTAAAATGACATATTTTAGAGGTTTAGTACCTAAGCTTAGATAGGGCTGTAATGTATATTCCCTATCCTCTCTATATATATATATATATATATATATATATATATATATATATATATATATATATATTATAATTAGAATATTGGATTTTGTTGTATATTTTTATCATACTAAATTTGCACCCCTGAACCTATTGTTATGGAAAAAATTGCAATGAAACTAATGGCTACAGAATTTGCTACGGACCAAATGGCTACGGAATTTGCTACAGACCAAATGGCTACAGAATTTGCTACAGAACGAATAATTTGCTACGAAATGAATGGCTACGGAATTTGCTACGGAACGAATGAATACGGAATTTGCTATGGACCAAATGGTTACAAAATTTGCTACGGAACAGAATAGATACGGAATTTGCTACAGAATTCATTGTTACAGAATTGTGATGGAAGTGTGTTGTAGTTGAAATGCTATGGATAGACGTCGTAGCAACGGCCGTAGCAAAATTTCTACGAAACTAGAATTCCGTAGTTAAACATTTTGCTACAAGAAATCTTATTATGGAATCTCATTGGCAAATTCTGTAGCAACTTACGTAGTTATTTAGGTTTAGCTACGAAATTTCAGCTTTTTGCTACGGAATTTTTCTGTAGTTAAATCGAAATTTGTTTTATCAAGGACCCACACTAACTCTTGAATATTTGTTTTATCAAGGAATGTTTCTTGACAAGAGAATATTATATGTCAAGAGGTCAGTGGGAGTCTAAATGATCTTGAAAAGTTTCAAGAACTAATCAAGGGTAAACCTATTGTTAAACACTAGCACACGACTTGAGGTTTGTAACCTATCATGTTGACACATTTTTGTTTCTATGCCATTCCATTTTAAGTCAACTATGCATATCAGTATGAGCCGATCCTTGCTCACCTCAAAAGAATGTTGGCTTCCTACATCCATGAAGTTGCTAAGTTGGATAAGGAGATTGTACATGTCATGAGAAAGAAGCCTACTTGAAGCCTATCAGGAAGCCAAGTGATCTAAATAAGATGAAAATGGGCAAGATAGATCCAATTTCATCACACTGTAATGTGCACTACAGGTAAAGGTGAAAAATTCATTTTCGCTCTTGTTGACAAGCACCTGTTCTCCACAACTTGCTTGGAGCACGTACTCGATATAACTCACAGGTGTAAACAGAACAGTGATTCGGATAAGAAGAACTTCTCTGACGTGCTTCGGTGGTATATAGCATTTCGTCACACTCTTTTGGCCATTATACAGAATGTATTCAAGACAGCGAAGAAAACTACACTTACTCAACCGAACTAGTATCTCGCCTCTATTGACGCAAAGGGGGAGATTGTTGGGTATAGAGTGTGGCGTCATATGGGCTTAGTGTCGATATTTTGTTTACCCGATTTGGGCCTGTCCAACCGTGGTTTATCATTAGGGTTAGCGTATATATTATGCATGCATGTATAGCTTTCAGTGTGTGGTTCTCATTAATTACTTTTGCATTGTAACCCTAAACACACCTCTACAGTCGAAGTTCTTCATCGAGCTCTTCTGAGGTGTGAGTTATTAATCATTCGACACCATTTGATCTATTCTTATGTTCTTTGATTACTTCATTCTTGGTTTTTCTGTTTAGAATCTATCGATCTATAACTCAATATTCTCATCACTAATGTATCATATCTATCTAGTAGTCTCTACTGTTAATCTCTATTTCCATTAATTTCAAGGTGAAAGGTATAGTAGAAGTCTATATGATGCTGCCGATTGCCCAATTTCAATTAAAATGTTCCATATCCAAAATGAAGAGCAAAATACAATTTGGTGCATATGGCGGTCGATCGGAGAAAAACGTAATATCAAAGCATAATTTTACTAGTTAGTTGAAGGTTCAATAACACATTCAAACCTATTCTTCTTAATTCCATAGTTCTATATTCAGAAAAAGAAAAAAAAATAGAGAAACAGAGATGGCTACCGGAGAAAAGAGCTTACATTTGCAGTTGCAGTTCCCGCATACACAGTAGAGATTGAGAGCGCCGATGGAGCAATCACTGCCTTGCTGATCTGAGATACAGTTCGAGTTCGATGGCGGTCGGTAAAAATAGTTCGAAAAACCTCTAGGACATGGCCGGTAAAACCAGATCGGGAACCAGGTGGCCTTCTACTTCAGATCCAGATCTGGTGAACTAGATCTGGTGACAGCCGGTGAAAATGAGATCGAAGAGTAGACGAGAAGGAGCTGGTTTCCGACGAGTGAACGAGAGGTGGTGAAGCCGGGAAATAACAAGATGATCCGTTGAGAGTGAAGAAACAGAGTTTTAACGGTGTATCAGTCGTTCCGCTCTTTTTCCGGCGATAGTCCGGTGGTGGTCCGGTAGTGTCCGGCGGTGGTCTTGGTGGTGCACGTTCATAGTGATTGAAATATGATACTAAAGAGGTGTTTATTAAAACGTGAAAAGATGTTGAATAAATAATAATTTTTTTAATAAACACGAGAATTTTCAAAGATTAAATTAGTGGTCCATATTCGTTCTTAAATGTTCTCAATTTAAGAAATGTTCTCATTTGAATATATATATATATATATATATATATATATATATATATATATATATATATATATATAAATTTTTTATTTTAAATCCACTAAGTATAACAAAACTTTGGTTCAATTAAGATGATGCGAAGTTATATATCCCTAATCTAATAAATAAGTACATTTTTGCCACGTGGCATTCTCCAAGCTCCTCCAAATCAATTTTTCCCGCTCAAATTTCGAAGTGATTTCCCGAAAATGCCCATCTCGTCGTTTCTACTCACCACTCAGCAAAATCCGCACAATTTAATTTGCCTATTCTTTCGTCCCTGCACTCCAATTTTGTTCCTGAAAATAAGGAATCAATGAACAATATACTCCGTAAATAGGTATCAGATATGCTGACTTCTTATATTTCCATTTTCTCGATTTAAAACCTAGATTCACCACAATTGGATGCGTCCCCTTCGTGGTCCACCCAGTGGCAACAAACCCCACCTTAAAAGATGTCGCTTCCTTCTCTTCTTGCCTCCTTTATCGTTACTCATGGTATGCTTCTACCTCCGTCTACGATTTATCCCCAAATTTATGATTCTCTTTTTCTTCTGACTCAAATGTGTCATCCTCGACATCAATATTGCTTTTCTTCTGCAATTTGTTGTTTATCCAGGTCAGTTCTTTAATCTGGTCTTCTTATATTTTATTGTTTGTTTAATTTTTTCTTGATTCTAAATGTGAGTATTAGTTTGATCCATCACTTAATTCTTTCTTCTTAACCTAGCGTAATAAATGATATTCATAAAATATTGTAACGATCGTTGTTTTTCCTGTTATCACTCATATGAATTCAATTACCATTCTGTCACCCCTAATCTCATAACTATTCTGATATCCTTTCCTTATAATCAATAAATCGCATCATATAAGGCAACATATGACAATCAATATACTGTAATCAACAATTACAGTCGGGTCACATACCTTTGTTGAATTTGCAATCGATTCCTCTATAAAAAATCATAATCGAGGACACCAACAAGTATACCAGGTTAGTAAATCAAGCTTTTTGATGTATATAATCAATTTTTTTTGTTTGACTACAACATGTGATCTGATTTCTTGATTTTGAGTCTGCCCACCAGGTGTTTGATGTAATGTGCAATGTTCTTCTTGATTTGTATAGAATCATGGTGCAATCTGAATATTTGTCTGACTGATTTCCCCCTTAGTTTCTACATATTTTACAACAAAATCAAAAATTAAAACAAAACCAAATTTAAAAGTATGCAATAAAGAGCATTGTGCTTTGAGGAATTGAGTGTATATTGTTTTTGTTGTGTGATACCAGTGAGGCTTTGACCTGTTCTTGGACTTCAGCATCATCAATATCAGTTCCATTTACAAATACAATGTTTGCTTTGAAAGGACTTAATTTAACTAGAGATTTGCTAAGACAAAAGGATAAGGTTTATGGAAATTTTATTTGTAAATTAAAATTGTGCTTGCTGATGACATTGTCATATATAATAACACATATTTGGATGATGAAAACTACACCTGATAAACTAAAATGTTAGCAAAAATCTTCAGATTATGTTGGCTGTTTTTCTGTTTGACAGATTTGCCCTCAGTCTCATAGCATCTCAGGGTCTTGGTATGTAGCATGTTTGCTTGCACAATCAATGCCCAAATGTAACAACATATTTTTGTTTCCTTGGTTCTGAAAATTATCATATTGATTCTTTTTGGTTATTATAACAGATATTATTTCATTTGATCTCATGAAAACTAGAAGGTTTGACATGGAAGATAGCTTAAACTAAATGTTAGATTATAACCAAGTGTCCTAAATACCTTTCATCAAATTTTATATGTGATATCGTTTATCAGTTTTGTCCTTCAGTATCTGGTACTACTGTAATTGAGAATTTTCCGTTAACTAAAACACCAATATAGTAATTCTATTATATATTAAAGAACAATAAAAACAGAAGAGTGTGTTACAATTACACACTCAAACCGAATATTTTTTGCCATGAGAAATTTCTAGAT